AAAGGTTTCCTAAAGGTTCACCCTATGGTTTTGGAATGGATCCCATGGGGTAGATAAGAATTCAGTGTGGATACAGAGGATTATAAAAGATATGTTTAACAAATGGGAGAAAACCAGTCTGGGCAGGTCAAGGCATTCAGTGGGAGAAAAGTCAGAGATAAAGCTAGAAAGACAAATGCTGGGCACAGTGGCTCACGCCTGTAATCCTAGCACTCTGGGAGGCTGAGACAGGCAGCTTGCTTGGGCTCACATGTTCAAGGCCAGGCTGAGCAAGAGCGAGACCCCCATCTCTAAAAATAGCCAGGCATTGTGGTGGGTGCCTGTAATCTCAGCTTCCAGGGAGGCTGAGGCAAAAGAATTGCTTGAGCTAAGAGTTTGAGGTTGCTATAAGCTATGATGCCACAGCACTCTACCAAGGGAGACAAACTGAAACTCTGTCTCAAAAAAAAAGTTAGAAAGACAGGTTTGCCTCATTGGGGCAGACCCTGACTATCAGGTTAACAAAGTTATACTTTCTTCTGTACATAAAGGGGGAGCTGGCAAGGGCTCATGAGACAGTGACTCTGCTTACCCCCACACCGGGTCCCTCTTTCCTCCATCCTGACTTGTCTAAAGGCATTGGTGTGGGAGCCAAGGATTCCACCCTTCTCTCAGTGCAGCCTCCTCCAGACCCACAGCTGTTCCAGGAAAGGTCATGGGAATTCAGAGACCTAAAGCCAATCTTGCATCTGACCCCACCTTGCTGCATGTTTCGTTTTCCCAGTCAAGAAAAATGAGCCCATTGCCTTTATTTATCCAAGGACAACAAAATTAGGATACCAGAACTTGGATCTGCCCCTGTTTGGAGGGAAACGTTCGTGGGCTTTCCATTGGTATCCAGAGGCCGTGTGGAACTCCGGAAGACAGAGGGAGAGGCTCAACTCTGAAGGGTGGGCACCAATCCAGGCCCAGCCTGCCTCCCTCCCAGCTCTCTCCCTCCCTCCCTATGCAGGCCAGAGGAAGCAGCAGCTGTTGTCCTGTGAGGAAGACAGGCAGAGGTCCACCTGGCACTGTTGGGATTTTCACAAAACCCGCCCCAGTTTAAACACACACACACACACACACACACACACACAACAACAACAACAGATTGGGGAGAGGTTGGGCCAACAACAGTGACGATAGTGATAAAATGAGGAGGCTAGAATTGAGGTTGCTGGTGTGAAGGGCTTTCTTTTTTTTTTTGTAGATTTTTTTTTTTTTTTAGAGACAGAGTCTCACTTTATTGCCTTCCATAGAGTGCTATGGTGTCACAGCTCACAGCAACCTCCAACTCCTGGGCTTAGGCGATTCTTTTGCCTCAGCCTCCTGAGTGGCTGGGACTACAGGTGCCCGCCAGAACACCTGGCTATTTTTTTGTTGCAGTTTGGCCAGGGCTGGGTTCGAACCTGTCACCCTCGGTATATGGGGCTGGCACCCTGCTCACTGAGCCACAGGCACTGCCCGTGAAGGGCTTTCTTCCCTCCCGTCTTCTCTCCTAACATTTTGTCTTCTGCTCTCCCTCTGTAAGTTTCCTTACAGAGAAGACTTCCTGACCAGTGCCTGGCCTGATGCCCGACTCCTTTTGTTCTCCCTACCCTCGTCCCCCTTCCCCCATCTTATCTTATTGCCCCATGAAGGCAGTGAAGGTAAAATGGCAAAATTATCTTAGCCAAGTGCAAAGTGAAGCAGAGCCTGGAGGCTGGACAGTGCAGGCAAACAAACAAAATAGCTTCCTTTATCCAAATAATTAGGCAAACAAAAGTTTCGGCTTGAATCGCACAGATGGTAGGTTCAACTCTTCCACTTCAATTTTCATATGCCAACTTAAACTTTTATTGTCTTTTCCTTTTGACCTGAGACAGTAGGGTCATGTTTATTTCACTTTCACACGTTCTAAGGCAGCCTGCTGGAGAGCCCAGCATAATGGAGTTGAAGAGGAAAGTGGGATAATTATACTGACAGGAAAACACAAGAGCAGAGGGCAGTTTGAATCTCACTCTAGGATAATGGGAAGTGGAAAACGAACGGGGCTTTGAATATAGATGAGCTCTCAGCCTCCTCCTCAGTGTTCACTGCCGGGTCAAACTGGACCGACCATGTCTTTAGGCATCAGATCCACAGTCTGCTTTAAACCATGGATACCTCCTAACATCTGTATTTCGGTGGCACCAGGGAAATGATACTGTACCCAGAATTTCATTCTGGAGAGATTCAGGCACCTTACAAAGAAGTGGAAAGGAGCCAAGGCCTTGCTAAGGGCAAACCAGAAGAACCAGAGGCTTGTGTGAACTTGTACTTGAATATCTTTTGCCATCTAGTGGCGTTTCCCATCCCCAACCCCGCTTTGCTTCTCAACACCCTTCACCCTGACCCACAGCTGTGCTCTCCACCTACAAAATTATGTCCCATCCTCAAGACAAACACTCCATCTTCCTGACTTGAAATCCTGACTTCTGGACCAGAACATAAACCTTATGATCAGGATGGTACTTTATATGGCTTCTCTATAGACATAATTCACTCCACAGATGGACCTTTTACTCCTCTGCTTAAAACTCTCCTAGGGTGGCTTGGCACCTGTGGCTCAAGTGGCTAAGGCACCAGCCACATACACCTGAGCTGGCGGATTCAAATCCAGCCCAGACCCACCAAATAACAATGACGGTTGCAACCAAAAAAATAGTGGGGCATTGTGGCAGGCGCCTTGTAGTCCCAGCTACTTGGGAGGCAGAGGCAGGGGACTCGCTTGAGCCCAGGAGTTGGAGGTTGCTGTAAGCTATGATGCCATAGCACTCTACCCAGGGTGATAGCTTGAGGCTCTGTCTCAAAAAAAACTCTCCCAGGGCTCCCTATTGTGCCTGCAGTAGAAGTCATAACCCTTCTGGTGGTATCTAAGGTTTCCCATGATCTTGCCTCTGGGTCCCTCTCTGAACCCCTCTTTTTGCCCTGTCCAGACACACTGGACATCATCCTTCTCCTCCAACCCCCTAGACATCATCTGTTCCAGGGCCTTTACAGTGCTATTCTCTTTACCGGGAACATTCTTCCTCCAGACAAATCCAAGTTCACTCTCATCTTCAACTCTCTGTCCCAGATTTACATACTGCAATGACCCTACATAGGAATCACTGCCTTCCAACACTCATCCTGTTCCACCTTTTTCTTAGCAATTACCATTTTGAGCAAAATATATACTTATTTTTTGCTGTCTTTCTCAAGTGGAATGTAAGCTCCACAAAAGTTTTTGTCTCTTTTGTTCACTGATATATCCCAAATACCTTGGCACATAAGAGGTACTCAGTTAATTCTTGTTGACTACATCAATGAAGCATACATACTACTTACAGGTAAATTCTGAAAACGAAAATACTATTCATCTCAGTTTTCCTGGCCTTCCCACTCACAAACCATGAGGCTTCTCTGCCTCAATATGTCGTGTCTCCAAAGTGTCGCATTCTAAGCTCATGGGAGCCCCAGAGCAGCACTGACCCCAACTCTCCTCCACACAACTGTTAACATCACAAAGAGCGGTGCTTGTGGCTCAAAGAAGTAGGGTGCTGGCCCATATGCCGGAGGTGGCAGATTCAAACCCAGCCCCAGCATGGCCAAAAAAACTGCCAAAAAAAAAAAAAAAAAAAAGAATAGGATACCCGAAGTGAAGGAAGGTTTAAGAAAGGGTGTTAAGAAAAACAACCACACCAACAGCATTTTCAAACACAAACATTTGGACAGTGTTGAAGTTTCGCAACTTTCAATAAATAAAGGAAGGGAAAAGTAAAGCTGAGAGGTGCTGGGTAGCCTTGGTTGACACCTGAAATGGAAGGGCCCAGGGAATGAATTCTTGTGGAATAGCTGACCTATTGGGGATGTCACTGGGCACTTTGGTGGTGCTGAGTCATCCATGTCCCTTGTCTCCCATCTCCTCTGAAAGAAATGCAGTATCCCCGGGTGACAAGGAATCATAAAAAGCAACTCTCTAGGCTGTTTTATCTGTACCTCAGAACAGATAAAGAGAAAGAGCGATCCTCAATACAACAGTGAGTGGCTGTTCCCAGGATCGTGGAGCAGAAGTGTGTAAGGAGATAAATGACAACTCTCTGTGAAATTAATTTGGGTTCACACCTAGGTCAGGTGGTTTATTAAAGAGTCATTAAAACCATGTGGCCAGAGGCAGTCTTTGAATGCAAGGATTCAAGCTTCCGCATTGCTGAACTGTCTGGGCAGGTACAGGTCTCCATAGGTATCCACTTACTATATATGGGACATGTAAGTGGAGAGACATGAACCTGACTCATTTCCTGATCCCGGGACTGTTCCCCAGCCCTCCCTCAAATAGAAGCCACATAGCTCAGGCGGGTTCTTAAGACCGTAGGCAGTGAGAAAAAGCACTCAGAAGAGCCCAGAGTCCGAGAGCCCAGCAGTGCATGGACACAGCCTCAGTCCACCAAGCAAGAGTCACAGCACAAGGACTACAGTACAACTGTGGCAAGACCTAGTGAGGAGAGGACACAAAGAAGGAGGGATTGGTTCTGACCTGGTGAGAGTGCCCCCAGATGAATGATAGTGGGCGAGGAAAGGACTTGACTTAGGAGAGATGAGGACTCACACTGGGAAGGGAGACAGTGGTGTGGGAGATGAAAGTACAGAATCAAAAAGGATGGGGACACAGAGGAGATGGGAATGAGGACGTGGAGGGGATGAGACACAGATGTGGGGAACAGGGGGTCACAAAAGGGAAGAGACTTGAGAGAGGAGATGGAACCAAGAGCAGGAGGCAACTAGGACAGAGTGAAGGCAGCGGGGCTACAAGGCCGGGAGGATGGGGCCACAGTGGTTGAGTGCACAGAGGGAGAGGAAGAAATGAGACACAGAGTGAGGACAGGACACAGTAGGGTAGGGAGATGGGTGACCTGCTAGAACATTTGCTGTTCTCTACCCTACAGACCTCAGCTCTCCATTCTTATTGCTTCCCAAGAGACATGGCACCAGCCAGAACAGGATTCTGCCCTTTGCTGCTGCTGCTACTCCTGCTGCTGGGGCTGTGGGTGGCCAAGGTCCCAGTCAGTGCCAAGCCCAGGCACATGACTTCATCCCAGTGGTTTGAAATTCAGCACGTGCAGCCCCACCCTCGGGCTTGCAACTCAGCAATGGGCAACATCAACAAGCACACAAAACATTGCAAAGACCGCAACACCTTCCTGCATGAATCCTTCTCCCGTGTGGCCACCACCTGCCAGACCCCCAAAATAGCCTGTAAGAATGGCCATAAGAACTGCCACCAGAGCCGTGGGCCCGTGTCCCTAACCTTGTGTGAGCGCACCTCAGGGAAGTACCCAAACTGCAGGTACAAAGAGAAGCACCTGAACAAGTCTTACATAGTGGCCTGTGACTCTCCCCAAAAAAGAGACTCTCAGCCATTCCCACTGGTTCCGGTGCACTTGGACAAAGTCCTTTAGGTTTCCAGACTGCCTCACTCTGGCTGAGGCTGAATTCCCTCTGCAGGCCTCTGCACTACTTCTCCCCTCCTCCACTCAGAGCACCGACTTCTCATCATCTCTTGGGACTCCTCCTGGTTCAGCCTCTTCTGGGAGGCTGAGGGGGAACCAAGGCTGACACTCACTGAGCTGAGCTCCAGAGGAAATGGTCTTCCATCTTTTTGTTGCTGTTTTCCCACAAACTTAACCCCCAGAGGGGATAATGAGCAAACTCAGGGGTATGGATTCCCTGGTCTGTATCTTGGTATATCTCTCCCCTGTTCTGTGTTACCATGGCAGCATGACAAGGGGAGGAAAGAAATGGAAAGGGGTGGGCACCTGTGGCTCAAGGAGTAGGGCGCCGGCCCCAGATACCGGGGATGGCAGGTTCAAGCCCAGCCCCCGCCAAAACTGCAGGGGGGGGGGGGAGGAAAGAAAGAAATGGAAAGGAGACACATGGGATTTATGCATAGAGCTGTTCCGTTCCTAGACTTCCCCAGCACTGATGTGACAGTGAGGTGACCCGTGTGGAGAGAGGTGCCCAGAAGGCAAGAAGAAGACAAAGACAAACTACTCTGTAATTATGCAGCACCTCCTGCTCTTTGCGTACTTCCCCGTGAATCCTCTAATCCTTTATGACAGAGACGGGACAGGAATGACCTTTATTTTATTTTGCTTAGCAGGCCTGAGCATGAAGAAATTGAGATTTTAAAAAATGTAGTTAGTTAAAGAGCTTGCCTAATTGGTTAGTAGCATAACCTGGACTTGAACCTAGGTCTTCTTACTATAAATACAGTGCACTTTCTACTAATACCATTTGGAAAAGAAAGAAGAGACCATTGCAGGGACAAGAGGAGAACTAGGTAAGAGTTCAGCCATGAAGAAATATACCCTGAGAGCTCTGAAGAGCCAGTTACCCTGTGTTGACTGCAATAAAGGTCATTACCTCTCCAGCCAAGGGACTATTTATGAGGTGCTCAAGGAGCCTACATAATTCATTCATTCTCTCTCTCTCTCCCCGCTCTAACCACCCTTCCCCCTTCTCTAGCCCACTGCTCTTTTGACCTGGGCCCTGGGCCTGGCTCTGGCTAGGTCCCCCTGGTAAAGGGAGTGTCCCAACTTCATCCCCCTGATCCAGGATCACATTTCCCTTGACCTTAAGGGACTTCCGTGGCTTGCTTGTCACAAACAGGCTGGTGGGACCTGCCAGAACTTCCTTCCTCCTGATAATGACCTCCCCTGCCACGGTGCTTCTCTGGCTCTCCACTCGGGCAATCTGCCCGGGTCTGAGGGGTTGAGATGTGAAAATGCCATCCTTGTCCCCCTGGGCTACAGATACCATTACTCCTGCTCTGGTAATCGGTCTTGCTTCATATGGGCTGAGTCCTCATGGCCCCTCCAGCATTGCCTACAGCCCTGACCATCACACTCCTCTCTTTCTTTATCTCAGTTCCAGACAAACTGCACTGTGCCCTATGCATACCCTATTTCAGACCCCAATATATTGTCAGACCGCCCTACTCCTGCTGGGGATTCTAGTTTATCTATCTCTTCCCACCAACTGAGTGACCAGAGTCAGAGTAAGCTTTGGAGCCAGTCACAATTGCTTACAAAGCCTGGCTCTGTTGTTCCTGGCCATGTGATCTCCAGGAACAAGCAGGTCTGTTTTCCTACAGCAAAATTCAAGTAATCTTACCTGCCAAACAGGATTGCAAGAAGACTTTGAAATGACATTTAGGAAGCTCTAGTCAGCCCAAGGTACTAGCAAGCATTAGGTAATGCTAACTTGTAGCGGTGGTAGTAGCAGCAGCAATATTCACCTTTGGAAAACACATAGACCAAGGCAAACACCCTACTCACATCTCTAGTACTGCTAGAGTGATGTTCATGAATGGGCTGGAGGATAAGCCTGCAAGCAGAGTCCTGCTAGGGCAGCCTGGTTGTTTGAGATAACGAGGGATGAGAGGATGAGCAAAAGAAGGCGGAGCAGAGCATTAAACAATTCAGAAAGAAAGTGGACTAATAAGCTGCTGAGTCGGCCATCACCAAGGCTGGAAAGGAGAGGAAACTAAATACACATGTGGCCAAATGCCAAATGACTGAGATTAAAAACAAGTATTCCCTGGAAACAGAACATTGTCATCATAGAATGGACTTCTGGAATAATCAAATAAATCTGAAGTTTTATCCACAGTCTGAATTTGGGCCTCTTTACCTGCTGATCCTGGCAATGGTGAATGTCTATGGTGAATGTATCCTGTTTTGTAAGCTTTCATACTCTGTAAGCCTATCTCTCGCTTCCTCTTTGTTTCATGCTTGCCTTAAAAAAGGAAATCTGGGGCCGTGCCTGTGGCTCAGCGGGTAGGGCGCCAGCCCCATATACTGAGGATGACAGGTTCAAACCCAGCCCCAGCCAAACTGCAACAACAACAAAAAATAGCCCGGCATTGTGGCGGGCACCTGTAGTCCCAGCTACTTGGGAGGCCGAGGCAAGAGGCTGAGGAGTTGGAGGTTGCTATGAGCTGTGACACCACAGCTCTCTACCAAGGGCAGTCAAGTGAGACTCTGTCTCTAAAAAAAAAAAAAAAGGAAATCTGACTTTGTTTGGAACTCGCATGGTCACTCTACTATACATTTACTATTCTAAATAGACTATTTTCAACTGAGATGCATCCAAAAGCAAGATACTTGAGGGCTGCTGATTTTTCTCTTCACTTCATTCCTTTTTCACAACTCTTTACATTCTTTATTAGTGATTTTTCTTAATGATATTATGGTTTTAAATTTTCTCTCACAAAATTGAAAGTGGATAAAATTATGCCTTTAGTGCATTCTCCAAAATAAAAATTTCCTAATGGGACTTTCAAAAAAACTTGACCTAAATAACATTAAATAACTAAAAAGTCCGAAAGTAATCTGTGGTGACAAAGGTCAGAACGGTTGTATCCTGGAGGATCCTTCTAAGGATTTGGAAATGTTCTATTCTTGGTCTAGATATGTTCATTGTGTGAAAACTCACTGAAATATACACTAAAAACTTGTGTAATACGGGGACTCCCATAGCTCAGTGGTTAAGGCACCAGCCACGTGCTCCGGGACTGGTGGGTTTGAACCAGGCCTGGGCCTGCTAAGTAAAACAAAAAAACATAGCCAGGTGTTGTAGTGGGTGCCTGTAGTCCCAGCTACTAGGGAGGCTGAGGCAAGAGAATCGCTCGAGCCCAAGAGTTTGAGGTTGCTGTGAACTATGATGCCACAGCACTGTACTAAGGGTGACAAAGTAAGACTCTTACCTCAATTAAAAAAAAAAAAAAAACTTGTGCAATTTGCTGTATATTGTTACTGTTATATCTCAATTTTTTAAATCTTTCCAAAAAGTACAGTTAAGGATTATTTTATTTACACAATAAATAATATACCAATCAATTCTAAAAAAATCATGATATACCTAATCACAGATAGAATTATGATATAATCTAATTTCTATTGACCTGCCTTGTACTGTTTGCCAAATTAAATAATACTTGTACTATTTATTAAATTGTTATAAATACTTTGGGCTCAAAAAGTACCATTAAGTCTTGGCACCTATAACACAGTGGTTACAGCACCAGCCACGTGCACCAAGGCTGGCGGGTTCAAACCTGACCCAGATCAACTAAACAACAATGACAATTGCAACAAAAAGAAACAGCCAGGCATTGTGGCTGGCGCCAATAGTCCCAACTACTTGGGAGGCTGAGGCAAGAGAATCACTTAAGCCCAAGAGTTGGAGGTTGCTGTGAACTGTGACACCACAGCACTCTACTGAGGGCAGCATAGTGAGATTCTGTCTCAAAAAAATAAAAAGTACCATTGACCCTTGAACATGAGGGTTAGGAACACTGACTCCTTGTACAACCAAAAATCTAAATATAAAGACTGGGCACAGTGGCTCATGCCTGTAATCCCAGCACTCTGGGAGGCCAAGGCAGGTGGATCACCTGAGATCAGGAGTTCAAGGCCAGCCTGAGCAAGAGCAAGACCCCTTCTCTAAAAATAGCCAGGCTTTGGGGCGGGTGCCTGTAGTCCCAGCTACTCAGGAGGCTGAGGCAAGAGAATCACTTAAGCCCAAAAGTTTGAGGTTGCTGTGACCTGTGACACCACCACACTATACCAGGCTGACTAAGTGAGATTCTGTCTCAAAAAAAAAATCTGAACAAACTTTTGACACCCTAAAATCTTAACTACTAATAACCTATTGTTGACTAGAAGCCTTACCAATAACATAAACTATTGATTCACATGTATTTTGTACGTTATATGTATTATATTCTGTATTTTTACAATACAGTGAGCTAAAGAAAAGGAAATGTTATAAAGAAAATCACAGAGCAGAGAAAAAATATTTACTTCACTAAGCAGGAGTGAATCATCATAAAGGTTCTCATCTTCTTCATATTCAGTAGGCAAAGGGGGAGGAGGAAAAGGAGGGGTTGGTCTTGTCTCGGGTGGCAGAGGTGGAAGAAAATCTACAAATGGTTTTCAAATCCATGTTGTTCAAGGATAAACTGTATATAAGGTTTTTCCTAAGGTTACCTGACTATGATACTCTCTCCTGCTACTTATATTACCTGTCAACTAATTTTCATATTTTTTAACTACATAAAAATTAATAACTGCTTCATAGAAATATTACAAGCTTTCACAACCATTAATTATGGCATTTTCTTAAAGTATCTAACATACATTTGTATGTCCACTGGCTGATAAAATTTCAACATTTTTTAAAAGTTCATAAGTGGCTCAAGTGGCTAAGGCGCCAGCCACATGCACCTAGGGTGGTGGGTTCGAATCCAGCTCGGGCCTGCCAACAGGAGGATGCTGTGAGCTTTGATGCCATGGCACTCTACCCAGGGGGACAGCTTGAGGCTCTGTCTCAAAAAAAAAAAGTTCATAAGGAAAATTTCACTCCAGGTTACTTACATCTGGAATGTTCACCAAAA